AAACACTGTAGGTGGGAGTAACTTGACAATCAGGGTCTTGGAGAGGGGAGGGCTGCAAAAGTAAATGGAGGGCAGACAGTGTTTGAATTGTACAGAATATCCCAAATGTGGACCATAGAAGCACATTACAATACTGATCATTTTATTTTCAATCCCTTCCTTAAGAATCCCTAGCACAGAATTTGTTTGCCTCATTATTACTGCATGCCAACATTTTCAGTTAGCTATCTACCTCAACCGCCAAAATCAGGTTAGTCCCCACCAGGACAAATTCCACTCCAATCAGTGTATATGTAAAATAAGGCACTTGCCACAAATATACTTACTTACACTTTATACTTACTTACACTAAACCTGACCTGCCATATTGTTGCCTTCTCATCCAAACTGGGAAGATCCTTGGAGCTCCTCACAATCCTCTTCAATTTTAAACCCTCCTGAATAATTTGGTGCCATTTGCAAACTTGCTTCTTAAACATTTACTCCCAGCTGCAGATCACTTATGAAAAAATTAAATCACCCTAGTCCCAATCCTAATCCCTGGACGACCCCACTGTTTATTCCACTCCATCACAAGAATTGTGCATTGATTCCTACACTCCTGCTTACCATTGCTTAGCCAGTTTCTAATCCACGACAGGACTCATCCTCTCATCCTATGTCTGCTTATTTTACACAGGAACTTTTGGCGGCTTTGTGAAAAGCCAAGTATTTAACAACCTCTATTATAATCATGTATTAAACTGAGTTACTGAAAGGCAGGAAGCTGTTTTGCATGGCCACAACACTGCAGGGACACAGAACTGGTTGGACCAATGTTCTCTGATAGGATAGGGAACAGCATTTGTCATTTTTGGTTTTGTTTCCCTTCTGATGAAAATTTAATGTTGCCACAAATGAAGAAGGAAGCCAGATCTCCCAAATGAAGTAAGAAGCTTGACCCTTATTTTACTTTCTAGCCACACAGTCAATATAGGTATTAGCTCCTAGAATTCCATAAAAAGGACAGACAAGTAGTCTTGTGTTTGCTGCACTACAGTACAATTTTCTCTTTTTTGCACCCTACATTAAAAGCATAGGGAACCTCCATCAGCTCCACTACATATGTGTACATAATACATGTATCTTGTTCATTACATAATGTAACTAGTTAGAAAGAAAATACCATGAGTTAAGGCAAGATTTCCCCATATAAGATTGTTTATATCTTAACTATTCCAATTCGGAAGTGAAGGGCTCTGCCCCTATCTAGAAGAGCTGCTCCTGTAACTACGCATCGGAGGACTTACTGCGGGAGTCCCACAGTCGCACTCTTCACCGGCTTCAACAAAACCATTGCCACATACCGGAGGATCAAGAAGCTGCAGTAGAAAAGAAATCAGTGGGGAAAATATTTTCAGATGTGGAAATGCTTTAAAAGTTAATTGAAAGTCAGAATTAATTTCCCCCATTAATATTCACACTACGCAATTATGAATGTGATAATATATACAAGATAACTTGAATCATTCTTCCTTTCTGTATTAAGCAAGAGTTAGTACTTTTTTCTTTTGGAAAGACTCATATTGAGACCTTTATAATGTGTCTTTACCAGTCTGAGTTTAACGAACATATTCCTTTTACAATATTTACTTTAAAAATTAACATGTTTTTTCCATCTTAAACTATATTTATGTGTTATAAGTACAATGCTGGGAAAGATGCAGAATTAGAACAGGTCTTAATGTTTCAGTTGCAAGAGTTTTGCTTTCTATACTTCAGTGGCAAAGTGGTGGCAGCCAACTTATGGTGACCCCCATAGGGTTTTCAAGGCGAGGGACATTCAGAGGTGATTTGCCATTGCCTGCCTCTGCATAGCAACCCTGGATTTTTTGGGGGGGTCTCCCATCCAAGTACAAACCAAGAACAATCCAGCTTAGTTTCTGAGATCTGATGAGATCAGCTTAGTTTCTGAGATCTGAGGTCAGGGTATATTTCAGTACTGCATAAGGAAAAAAATCTGAATGTTCATAATCCATCCTGCAATTATAGTCTATACGGCATAATTTATAATGCAGTTATGCAAGACTACTGAAAAACAAAGGGTTTTATTACTTAAAAACAGATAGCTGTAAACCTGCAGGAATCACTGAATAAAGAGGATTTAACTATCCTCCCCATCTGCCACTGTTTAAAGAAAACACACAGAGATCCAGCCCTGCTCTCAATTACAACACTTAAAAATATAAACAACAAATTTTGCCAAGGAGAATCAGCCTGATGTGTCAGCAAGCACACACAATGACTCAATGCATTCTTTGTTTTATAATGCTCCAATAAGCAATAAAATTTACATTTAATTCAACTGCTTGAGGACACATGTTCTATGACCAGGATCCAAAGGGGTACGCTTAAATTTGATGTGCTCACGCAGTCTGCCCCCTCTATTGTTTCAAAAGTTCTCCTCCCAGAAATCCCCAAGCTACTCTAGTAAAAGTTGCACAGGCTAAAAGCATTTTGGCGATTAGGGCTAAGAGCAATTTAAAAGGAAGGCCCAGAAAAATGACTGTCTGCGTGCCATTATCAGTCTCCTTTTTAGCTGCAGGGAGTTCCTGTCCAGGCTCAACAATATCTAACACAATCTTTTAAAAAATGTATTCTGGGGTGTACTTCAACCCCAGGCCAAATTCCAGTGTATCTTGAGGACGAAATATATCCCATAAAAATGTGTTTGTGGCAGTAGAAGACATTGTGTTTTACAACACTAAAATACCTAGAGCCTGAAACTACACTTGTACATCAGGTGGAAGATAACTGCACTGATAACAACACAAAAATTGCAAATTTTCTTTAAGTTATGGGTAGTTTTGAGCCCCAGGAATCTTTCTTTGTGGTGAGGCAGATATTCTCAAGATTATAAGGACGGGCTGTATCCTCCCATCTGGTTCCCTGGAGCAGTTTTCTGGGGGAAAATGTATGGGTATTTACCTTTACCCCAAATGTATTATATGACCGGGGATAAAAAGACACCCCAAATGTCAAATTCAGTAGATTTCTGGGGTTGTTTTGTCCCAGGTCGCTTTTTGTGTACAGAAAGGAAGTGTAAGTGGCTGAACTTTGGGGCTATTATTTACATATGTGCAAGTGACAATGTCTTAGGAGGAGGAAGCTGTAGGTATACTTCTCTGCATTCTGCCAAAAAAAAGTACTTCTCGTGTAGGAATTTAGCCTAGGTTTTAAGCAAAACACATTACATGAAACTTCATCATTTCCTTTAGCTCAAACAACTTATCTATGTTAGAGTGTGTGCATATTATACACTCTCTCCCTCTACAACAAAGGCAGGCTGAAGTACTGAGGAATACTGAAGTACTGAGGATACTGTGCAACCCCATGGTACATGTTTGCATACCAATGGAATAATTAAGAGCACATTCTTCACAGATCAACAGATTGCAATGGAACACAGGAACCTGGCAGTCTCTAAGGTGCCCAAGCAATTTAGCCCAATGAAACTCAAAATCAGCAGACAGTGGGAAGCTCATGCAGGCACAGCCTAATACATATGGCTCATTTAATATAACTAGGGAATGATAACAGATAACAATTGTTCCGTACTACCTCATACTTGTTTATGGACAATCATTTCAAGATAATGACCCTGACAGTGACCAAAGAACATAAGAACACATGAGAAGCCATGTTGGATCAGGCCAATGGCCCATCCAGTCTAAAACTCTGTGTCACACAGTAGCCAAAAAACCAGAACAGAACAACATAATGCTACCTTCCTCTGAGTCAAATTATATTACCTTGGAAGGCTTATTGAAAAGGCAAGCTCCACCTCCATTATTTAAAAATTCTTGATACTCCTCAATATCACATTTGGAGAACTTGGATGGAAGAAAGTAGCTGTTAATGGAAAAAAAGTTTGTAATTGATTGACTGGTTATTTGAATTCATAAATATGGTAGACTTAGGCTGCAGTCACACACACTAAGTAATCTACTTTCAAAATGGATTTTGCCAATTCACACAGTAAAAAACCAGTTGGAAAGTGCATTGATAGCGGATTATTGAGTGTGTATGATTACAGCCTGATCCTATTCATTGTATTGTTGATGTGTATTTTTAAAGAGAGTTAGTTGTTTTGCTGAGCTGTTTTAATGTAAATAAAACACAGGAAGAACAGTGTGATCAAAATGACACTGTATTTTTGGGGTAATATCCTAAGTAATCTAAATTAGTTTATCCATATGTCTATCTTACATTATTTAAATTGGCAGATTACCTGGGCCAGTCATGACTAGTGAAGATTAAAAAGTCATGACTAGTGCAAGATTAAAAAGAATGTGATCAGGATCCCTCACATGTAAAAACCCATATAAATGTTCACAGAATACAGATGGCACTTATATTTCAATTTAAATGTCACCAAGGCAAAACATGACTACAGTTCACATGAGAAAAATCAAGACTCATCAGCACAGCAGAATATTAGTATGAGGCCTGAATGCAGCTAAAACTATACATATGGTTAAGGAGGCTGCTTAGCCTGGAAGAGCATGGCATGTTTTCAGGTTTAGGCATGCTGCTGATCCCTTTTCAAAGTGTCAGTGAAAAACAGGCCCAGTATAATCTAAACTGCGCTTAAACAACATGCAAAATAAAGCCTGCTGTATTGATTATTGTTATTTTATTATATACATATTAGTCAAACAGAACTGGAAGAAGTCCACATGAATTCTTGGACAAACATCAGACAAGACCAGCCACCCAGAAGCTTATTGAACCAATGACAAGACATCTCGCAGAAGAGCCCTGCTGGATCAGACCGCAAGTTTGTTTGGTCTAGCATCCGGTTTCCAGTAGCCAGTTGCTTCATGTCTTCCTCGCAACACATTGTTTGTAATTAGTATTTAGCCACAATGATCAGCAGCCATTAAAGCACAGATTTGGGTCCAACCAACTTTTATGCTGGTGTAAAAGGAAAGAGGCAGCTGTGGCTGAGTGGTAGAACATCTATTAGCATACAAAAGGTCCTAGGTTCAAACTCTGGTGTCTCCAGTTTAAAAAGACCAGGCAGTTGGTTATGTGAAAGATCTGAACCTAAGACCCCAGAGAGCTGCCACCCATCAGAGTAGACAATACTGGCTGACCCTGATAGGTCTGATTCATTGTAAGGCAGCTTCACATACTGACCACCCAAAAAAGCTATGCTGATGAAAATCATGGGATTTCCATGTACGAAAGCCATGTGGCTGCGGCCTGTAATATGCACAGGAACTAGATAAGAATGGGTGAGAAACTGGCGGGATCCAATTCATACAGTCTACAAAAGCATAAACTTCAACCATTTCATACTACTTTAGAGAATAATAAAGCATCATTTTGTGATTATTATAATAATTCTGTCGTGGTTTGGTGATGATTTACACAAGTGTAATACAGCTAAAGCCAATGGCAGCTTAAAAGTGTACATACATAATATTTTATTTTAGTGACTTTGTGTGCCTGAATGCAACTGAGGCCATATATTCAGCATCATTGCTTTTTTCACAGCTCACAAACCATTCATTTATATTTTCATTTCATGGCAATTTCCATAATTAAATGCCTTACCCAGTGTCTCCCATTATGCATCCATACCATGTATCCTCACATTTACACTCACCTAAAAATGAACAAATAAGACCTTTAAAATTATTTTGACACAAATTTCTATTTTAAAGCAATATTTCAAATAAATAATGTGGAGTAAAATTATTGAATGAAACTCCCTCTGGAATGTCAAGAGAGCCAAAATTGCACATGATTCCACAATTAATTATTCCCCATTCCATATTTAACAAAACACTTTTTCCAACAAAAATTCAGCTGGATTTCCTTTACAGTAAAGTTTCTTAAAAACAAACATGAAAAACCATAAAGAATGAAAAAGGGAAGCAGAGAAAGTTATGTAAACCATAAAGACTCAAAAAGAAAAGCAGAGAAAGTTTTGAAAAGGGTAGGGAGACATGAAAAGGGTAGGGAGACGAATGGCCATACTCATCTGAAAAACCTTACCACTTTGCAGTTTTCTTTTGTCCGAGAAAATACCAAGATTGTGAGCTAAGGACTGCGCCAACGTAACTGACATTAAATCAGATTTTCCAAACTGAAAGGGTGAAAAAGGCAGTAATTGCTTTGAGAGCAAGATGTCAACTTTCAAGTACATCTTTCTAAACAGATTTTCAAATAATTGTCCTGAAGAAAAAAAGATGCTCAAACCTGTAGCATTTAGTTCATAGGTTAACCCATGAGTTGCAGATTAACACCAAACAAGCAGAATGATACAAATAAAGATACTTTTAGAACATATAACATCCACTATTACAGATGGTCAACCATGTTGGTCTGAAGCAGTACAATAAATTTAGAGTCCAATGGCACCTTTAAGACCAACTCTCAATTGTGCTTAGAGCACTTAATTTTATAACAGTGCAGTCCTAATTAGAGTTACATTCTTATAAACCCACTGACATCAATATACTTGGAAGAGAGTAAGTCCAATTTGGATGGCACTATTTAAGGCTGAACAAGTTACCTGCAGATCCAAGGATCTTGGAGAGGAATAGGTGAAAGACTCAACTGTAGTGCATTGCCCTATTATGTCAATTGCAGATTCTCAGTTAAGTGTCAGTACTATCCAGCATCATCCTTCCCTTAAGAGCTTAGGGGACCTTCTGCAATTGTGAATGTGGAATGTAAGATGAAGCCTGAAACTGCTCTTAAAAAGATGGAACACTTTTCTCTAACACCCAGTAAAGGAACTCTAACAGTACAGAAAGGTGGCAGCCTGGCTTAAACTTCCCATTACAAGAAGTTCATCAATTTCTAAGTTAGCTCTTCAGGTTCTCATTATTTTTAGATCAAAACAAACTTGTAGAGATCTAGAGGGAAGATTATTTAGGATGGGGCATGGGGCAACCCTAGAACCCAAAGACAGGAAAGGGGATTGGTCTTTGAAACTTCCTAGAACAGAGCATTACACTGTGTAATGAACAAAGAACAAGAGATGGCTTTGTCAAAATATACAATGGAATGCTGAGATCACTGTGCCAGTTTGTATTTCTACAACTGTGAAGACTTACTTCATTCACACCTCCACCTTTCAGTAACGAGCAAATTCCACCAATGTAAGCTGCCCCACTGCGACTGCTCTGAAACTGACTCCCTCTTTAAAAAACAGAAGGAAACAATTAGAAAACAACAACAATCTAAAAACTATAATGTTCCAAACAGACAATGGAAAGGGGATGTGTCTGAGGCCTTCCCAATTGGTTGATTCACCACTCTGATAATAAGGTATATAAGGTTTCTGTGAGTATGGAAAATTGTACCCCTGGGTGGACTGTGCTACCCACTCTGTTTCATGTTTGAGTCTGAACGTTGTGTAAACTAGCAAAGTTCCATATTATTATCTGCACAGTTTCAGTGCCGTTTGTAGGAATCAAATGTGCCCCATCAGGGCACTTGGACTACTGTGAAGTTTCCGCAGAGAATAGGATTAGAAAAATTCCACCTTAAGTCAGCTAATAAAACAAAAGATGCTTGCTTACTATGCCTGTATTACTCCTCGGGAAGTCAGTCATAAGAATGTTAGATTAGTACAAATATCCAATGTAACTACCACAGGGACAGATCAGCAGAGATGGTCACAGCCCTTCTTAGCTGCACCCTCCAAGTACTTCTCTCCAAACCAGCTCACTTTCTGAGCAAACAAGTACCTGAAAGGGCAGACTATAGTAAATCACAAAATCAGGTGGGTGGGTTGGTAGCTCTTACCCTGTTGGCCCTAGAAATCCCATGTCAGCTTTACAAAGCGATTGGGTTTAAGCAAATATTTCTGCTGCTGCCTGTTCTGCTTTGGACTTTGAAACAGAGTACAGGTGAACCTAGGGTTTAATCTAAAAGGTGCTTTAGAAGAAACAGATTACTCCAAAGGATGTTTACAGAAATTGCTGTTTGGGCCCGGGTACTAAAAAGCTGGAACAATGAAAATACAGTGTTATTTTATTCCCTAGGCATTTTCCTGTGCAGTTTGTTCAGTCACCTTACAAGAACACATGGGAAAATGTGTCAGTCTGTACTAGCAACAGAATGAGAGGGTTAGACCTCCCTATCCCAAGCAGTAATCAAAAAGCCCAATGAAATTACATACGAAAAAAGATGAACTGCATCACTTTTCTCTTTGATAAAATCCCTCCTGTATTTCATAAATGCACGCAGAGTCACCAGTGGGTTTTCAGATATGGTGAACTTGTTATCAGTACTCCAGGTTTCCATAGCAACCAATACTATCCTGGTGTTGAGTTGTTCTTTATAAATCTAGAACATTAACAAATCAAACAATCAGCAAACACCACAGTAACTTTTGCCTCTTTTAAAATATATAGAGCATAAAGAACATTACATTCCTGAAGGACAATTGTCATCTCCTTTCTAACAGGTTGAACAGATGTGATCAAGGTCTAAATATTAGAATATACAAGTGGAGACCCGCAAGAAACTTGCGGGATGGTTATCCTATTCCTCACGCCTTTGCTTCCTCCTGTCTCCCCCTACCTCTCTCACA